GGTCATGGAGGCGCCGGGGCCGCTGCCTGCCGCGACGACTCCGGCCCCCAGCCGGAGCCCCAGGCCGCTGCTGCTGCCGCTCCTGCTGCTCCTGCTGCTAGCCCAGGCTCTGCGGGGCTGGGAGGCAGAGGAGAGGCCCCGCACCCGTGAAGAGGAATGCCACTTCTACGCGGGGGGACAAGTGTACCCGGGGGAGGCGTCCCGAGTTTCGGTCGCCGACCACTCCCTGCACCTCAGCAAAGCCAAGAGTAGGTGGTGCCCCGCCAAGGGGGCTTGACCCGCGGCCGAGGGAGGCGGGAAGCGGGGAGGGCTAGGAGACACGTGTGCCCCGCTTAGGGTACCGGGGAGCGTGACTTGGGCGGCGCCCCGTGCGCTGCCTCCGTCCCGAAGCAGATCTGCCTCTTTCCTGGGGGTGGCGAGGGAGGAGGGTTCCAGCTGTGAGAAAGGGATGGTTTCCACTGATCAGATTTGGGAACTAGTGGTTACCCCAAAAGCCGCAGAAGAGAGAAAGAGGGTGGCCCAGGTCCCGGACTTGCAGGCATCAGAGGATGTTGTGCAAACTGAAACACTTCCTCAAACATCAAAGTGGCTGCAGCATATCACGTCTGTTTCCAAGTGCTCTTCCAGGGATGGATCGGTTAAGTTGAATAATCATAGAAAGTTCGATTAAACAGAAAAGTGGCTAAACAAAGTGTTCAGGAGAGCAAACGTTTCACCTTTCTATTTTTCTTTTTATTTCCATCTTATAAAGACTTTTAAAAGCCCTTCCCACAAACCTATATAATTAATGGATATTCTTTGTTTCTCATAGAAAATAACTTATTACAAAGAGTACTTTGGAGGCTCTTTGGAGAGAGAGGAGGAAAAAAGAGGTTCAAAGTAATGTATTTTGGTTGATGATAAACCTCATGGCAAATTTGTGTCCTGCCAGTTTGGCTTTTGATTATTTGCACTTCTGTCCAGTGTACACAGCTAATGGCCACTTTCACAAAGGACACGTCAGACTGAGAGACTGAGAAAGTTGCGGCCTGCTGCATCTAGATGTTAAGATTAGCCGAAAAGAAGTAGCCGGGGATTAAAGGATAAATACTGTCCCGTGCTTGCTTTTAAGTAACCTGCTTTTCCTACAGATCACTGGCATCCCGAAGATGATGGTTCAGTTACACCATGTTCTGTGCCTATATTCAGTAAAAAAGTGTGCTTCACAATTATGAATCCCGGGTGTTGAGTGGAATGTTATGATTTAGGATGGAGTGGGAGTAATAAATAAGAAAAACTGTTTTGCCTTCTTAAACATTTGCAGTTCATTCCTACTGAACGTTCACTACTTTTGGATTTTTGTTTCTAAAAAGCCAGCCTTGCACTTTGTTTTATTTTATTGTTTTTAAACAGCATATGCTTATTTCACAGGAGGCCTTAGCTGAGCTCTCCACTCGGGATCTCACAAGGCTGCAGTCAAGGTGCTGGCTGAGCTGCATCCCTTTCTGGAGCTCGGCATTCTCTTCCAAATTCACATGGTGGCGGGCAGAATTCAGTTCCTTGTGATTAAGGACAGGGTCCCTCTTTTTTCCCTGTCTGTCACCTGGTGCCATGCTTAATTCCTAAGAACCAGCCACTCACAGTTTCTTTCTTCAACAGCATGGCAGCTGATTTTGTTAAGGCCAGCAAGAGAATCTTTCTTAGCTTCGAGTCCCAGCACTTTTAAAATCACAGTATTTCAAAGTGTCATTAGTTTTACTTGCCTGGGAAGATATTTTGAAATGTGTCAACCAGTTAAGTGTTCACTTGCATTACATTGTATTTCCCATAAGAAACAAATTCCATCCAGGTGTGCTCATAAAAGCAAAATATAGCAGTAACAGATTTCCCTTTACCAGAAAACTTTTTCAAATTTTAGGTATTTGCTACATTTCTGTCACATATAGGCTTATCTAGAATTAAAGATACGAGAACTTCTATTCATAAAGTGGATTATTATAGAGCCATTAAGGCCATACTTTCAAATAATTTTTAGTAACATGAAAAATGTTCATGATTTACTGTTGCTTTTTTTTAAAGGAATGCAACATGATCCAAATTTGTGTTTAAAGAGAAGATGAGAAGGAAAGACATCAGAATGTTAACAGTAAATTAATGGGGTTTTGAGAAGAGGAGGTTTAAATATCCTTCTTTATACTGCTTTGCATTTGCCAGAATCTGTTATGATTTATATTCAAGATTTTAATAGATGCAGGGTTGCTTTGGGGATTCCATTTATAGATCTTAACAAAGTGACTGCATTCTTTTTTTGCTCTATAAACTGATGACAGTTTTTTCTTTGAACTAACACTATAATTTTTAAATCAAGAACCCAAATTTCTCAAACTCAGAATTTTGAGAACAAAATTTATTTCTCAGATTTGGTTTTCCCAATGTGCTAAAACCATTAAGGAGTGTCATTGTAACAGATCATTATAATTCCAACCACAGTCTATTTAATGTATCCTGTTAATCTCTCCCTTTGAGTAGCATTTTCAGTAATGTATATAAAGCATATATAGTTCAGTACCCTTCTACTATCTAATTCCCCCTCTTGGCCTTTACCTAATCAGATCGGGATATTTATATGAGGTAGGCTGCTGATTCAAGATAAGTAATCACACGTTATATATTAACTTCACAGAGAAATTCATCTTAAGTTTATGTCTCTTTTCAGAATGACCATAAATGCTGGGTGTTATAACCCTTATTTTCTAGGAACCATAGTCAAACTTGGAAGCAAGTATTGACTTCAATATATGTAATGGTTCTGAAAGTTTAAGTGCTATCTGAATGTAACAGAAGATCAAGGTATATTATTATCAAAGCATGTTGGCTAGAATTACAGCATGCCCTTACAAGAGAGCACCAACTATTGAATTTCCATCAGGTCACTTGAAACCTTTTCAAGGGGGTCTCCTTTCAAAGCCCTCTAGGAAAATAATCCCATGGTCTGGGATTGTACACTTCTGGCCTGATGTATTTGCAAATTTCCTACTCCTTGAGTGTGTCAGCAGGTCCTCCATGAGTATGTGAGAAACTGGACAGATGTTTAAATTAGTACACCTGAAAGGCTGCCATTAGGAAAAGGAACATCTAATTATTTGAAATGTCGGAAGTTCCGCTTGGAGGGGCTATAGTGAAGTACCCGGTAGGGTTTAGTGCAGGGATGGAATGTAAGGGGCGGGGGTGGTGGCTGTGAGCATGAATAGAATAAAAAGTATTGTCACTAACCTCCAACTGAATTACAGCATGCCCTGAAATTGAGCATTTCTTATCTTTATAAATATTAGCAACAAACCACATTAGCTTCAGCAGTACTTGCTTGTACCTGTTGCCAATAGAACCACAGATATTTTCAAGCCACATTGTGGTTGTTGGTTGTTGCAGGGACCCTGAAACATCATTTACACTCTTTAGTATTTTGGGTAGTTATTAGATCACTGCTAGATCCTGCATTTTTAAAGTATTAATAAAAAGGAACATGTATTACTACATCACCAATAAAGGTTTTTTTATATTTTGATAATTGCATTTCAATATAATTGTTTCCCTTTGTAATTACATATATTTTATTTTATACATTCAATAACACTACTCTGGGAAGTCTGTAAGCTCCACCAGACTGCTGTGGAGATCCAAAGTTTCAGAAGCCTTGATTTTTAGTGATTTCCTAAAGCTGTTCTGTCATCCCACCGACTTTCTCAGTGGTATAAAACATCCTATATCTTTCTTTCTTAGTTTCCAAGCCAGCACCTTATTGGGAAGGAACTGCTGTGATAAATGGAGAATTTAAGGAGCTCAAGTTAACTGATTATCGTGGAAAATACCTGGTCTTTTTCTTCTACCCACTTGATTTGTAAGTAATACATGTACACAGCAGCTAGTAAAACCTCAGTTATTATCAGTCATTAATTGAAAACATCAAACAGTTAGAAATATTTTATTTAGCTCTTGGTCCTCAAAAGGCAGACTAAGGTGAAGAATATTTCCAAGAAGGTGACATCTACCATGTATTTCAGAATCATAACCCTTTGACTGCAGTACTTTACACTTATATCTCCATGATTGTGTTATAACATAATCATTAGACAAAAATACAGTTATATTCATTAAGCTACACCTACTCAAGCAAGAAAATGGACTGGCAATATTTTAGAAAGCACTTAAGAGCAAGACTTACATCACAAATCTAATGTATCCCTCCCTGTTAAATAGAAAATTAACAAGCCCCTTTTCTCTGGTGATGCCTTTTATGGTTTTACTGTTTTTACTCTTTGCTGCATCTGTTGCTTTCCTGTGATTTGAACATTTGCCTGAAAATATTGCATATGCTTAACGAATAGTACCTACTAATATAAATTATGGTTATTGTGGGAGCTTTTTCTCTTTAACTCTGACAGTGAGCACTTTTGTAGATACAAAGTTGACTCAAAGTAAAGGCTCTTGCAGCTTTAGTCACACCGAGGATTTAATTTTATTTTGAGTGTTTTTCAAATTCCATAAAAGCAAAAAGATACCAAAATGAGAGTTATCCCAACTTTTATCTTTCTTCTATTTGAATTTTTTGGAGGGTCACAAAGTAAGTAGAAGATTCTTCTATCTTTGTCACTGTATATTATAAGTCCCTTTTCTGTTAAGACTAATCTAGGTAAATAAAATTTAAACTTGCAGGGAGGTTACACTTAAACTCATCTCCATAGGTTGTCTCTAGGCCAGAGATTTGCAAACATTTTCTGTACAGGGCCAGATAGTACACATTTTAGTCATAGTCTTGTGGTGATCTTTATTCTAACTACTCAAATTTACCATCATAGCACAAAAACTACCATAATAAACGAATGAGTGTGTGTTCAATTGAAAGTGTATTTACAAAAAATAAGATAGGCTAGATTTGGCCTGTGGCTGAAAGTTTGCTGACCCCTAGTCTATCTAAATAGGAAGAATTCTCATAAAAATTAATACATCGAGACTAAAGTCATGAATCTACACAATACATAATCTTTTAAATTATCTTGACTAGCTAAAATGTATAATATACTCTAATTTCCAATAGAAACCAGAAGTTGAAATTTTAACATATAAAAATTATGGGCCTTCTAAATTCATGTTGTTATAAAACCAAAAAGTTAAAACATGTAAAATATATGACACTAAACCTGAATTTTGAAATTAGTCTGACATAGCAGGTAAAAACGCGTTCTTTCCAGTGTTATTTAAAACTCCATGATGAATAAGACATAGCTAACTGCATGATGCTAGCAGTGGTGTTCTGCAGCAAGGCGCTAAGATCGCTCCTTCCTGTTGTTTCCCTGGAATGCCAGACTGGGCCTGGTTAGAGAAGGAAGAATCCTCAGTCATTGCCACAGTCTACAAGGATGAAAGTCACACACATAACCCACCAGTTTTCCCCCGACCTTTTTCTCTGTCTTCACTAAGAAGTCGGGCAAAATGTGTCTCTAGATACCATTTGGGATAATAGGAAGAAAGGCAGGGGGTGACCATTCCTACCTTTTGGAAAATATTAAAAATATATATTATAGGCCAGGTTCCAGGGATGTAATCTAGTTTAGAACTTTGTGATTGCATATGACAGCCCTCCACTTGAACAACTGAAACATTTGAAAAGCCTATGTTGGGGTGTGGTAGGAACTTGTCCCCTAAATCTACATTTTTCAAACTTTCTTGGCCATGACACACAATGGGAAATAAATTTTTCATTGCTGCCCCATACATGTACACATACGTACAGGGCAACATTCAGTCTTCACGCACCAGTGCAACCACGCTGTCCTGAAACACTGAAAAGCTTCCATACCAGGCGGTCAGTAGCCACTTTCTCAACCCCTCCCCAAGTTGCCCTCCCACCTGGTCCTGTTCCGAAACCTCCAGCACTAAAGCCAACTTTGAGTTAAGGTTGTTAAATATTTTTACTATCTCTCCTGAACACACACATATATATGCACTGCTATGTACATGTCTCATAACTTACCCTTACTGTGAATGATGTATCTTCATATTTTCTATTTCACTATTTTAAAATGCTGTTTGGAACTCAGTAAATTGGCTTAAGTACAGTGGAACCTCAGTTCTCGAACTTAATTCGTTCCAGAAGCCTGTTCAAGAAGCGATTTGTTTGAAAACTGAATCATTTTTTCCCATTAGAAATAATGTAAATTGAATTAATCCCTTCCAGACCCCCAAATGATTCCGTTTTACCCTTTCTTATATACAGTACCTATCTAATGTACTGTTTAATATATAAACAAACACTTATTTTCTGAAATTTACCGAACCACCCCCTACTAACCTTAAACGAGTCACTTCCAGGGGTGTGTTTCAGGAGGTCAGCATGTGGCATCTTCACTTTTCCACATATTATTGCCTCCAGAATGCTGTCACCGGCTAACTGCTTTTCATTTACGCAAAGCAACAGTTTTTCCACCTCTTCAATTGCCTGTGATCACTCTTTCCTTCACAGCATTAGCAACATTAGCACTCTTGGTGGCCTCTTTATGTTTTAAAATTGTGCTAATCATCCATTTCGCCAGCAACAATAGCATCCTCTCCTTTGTTGCCCGAGAGATGCTTTTTGTCACGCCGAGGTATCAGCGTGAAAGGGCCGGCAAGTCGAAAACCAAAGTCTGGTTCGACAACGGGGACATTTTTTCCCTAAACAACTTGGTCGAGAACCAAATTGTTCAAGATGGGAGACATTCAAGAACCGAGGTTTGACTGTAATTCCTACCCCAGTATGAAAAATACTACCCTAAGGTAATATTCTCTAATCAAGAAGCGGAGGGGGCGGGAGGGCATGTCCTCCCTCCAAATAGAGATCGATGCATCGGGCTCTAAGGCTGGTATAAGAATGTAAAAAACAGTGATGTGTCAGATTTGTACAGATCTTTTGAAAGCTATAAAGCATTTTAGACTACCCAATCTTGAGAAGGTTCATATAGGAAATTGTTCTTAATGTGTATTTTTATATACTAAATGTGTTTGTAAAGACTATGTCGTTTGAAACTCCACATATATGAGTATTTTGAGAATACTGAGTATATTTTTTTTACTTTCAGCACTTTTGTGTGTCCAACTGAAATTATCGCCTTTGGTGATAGAATTGAAGAATTTCGATCTATAAACACTGAAGTTGTGGCATGCTCCGTCGATTCGCAGTTTACCCATTTGGCCTGGTTGGTATCTTACACTTACATTTGTAGGGAAAAAATGGATTTACTTTGAAATTATGGGCAGACAACTCTTAACATGATAGGAATATAGTTATTTATCAGACAATTCAGAAGTAGATTTGTCTGAGAACTGCTAGTTCAATGAAGTTACATAAAAATGCTTAAGGATTTTATAGGACATTTCAAAATTATGGGGGAAAGTTCAGTGAAAAAGATGTAATATCCATAGCAAAAACTACTGAATTATATGATTATTTTATTAAGACAAATTTTGGGTAACCTTAATCTAGAGAAAAAAAATCTTTAAAATACCATTTCTCTGTTGCCTAGTATTAGGCCAAACTCAAAATAACTTTTATAATTACTTTTCAAGAAGCAATGATGTTTAAATTAATTTTAGAAATAATTTTAATTAATTGTTTCACCTAATTAATAGCAAAGAATTGCAAGTTAAAATGACAAGAGATCCCATTTTTTCCCTGTCTGATTGGCCAACATATTCAAATATTGAAAAATGTAACGCAGTGATGACAAAGGTGGGAAGAAATGGCACTCTCATACACACAGACGGCTCAGCATTCCTGGAGAGGAGTTAGGCAACATGTTTCAGAATCTGAAATGTGTGTGTTGCTGTGAGTTTTTAATTATGTCCACAATTTTGTGCACAAAATTTTATGCACAATAAAGACTTCAGAATTATATTGGTTTTAAAACTTAGTATTAAATTCATTAAAGTAACAAATTCAAAACAAGTTTTTCTCCATTTACAATTATATGTATACATATAAATATATGTGCATGTATATGTATATAAAACTAAAATTTTAATTGGTTCAGGAGCTACAATTTAAATTTAACTTGCATTCCCATAAGTAATTCTCTTAAGTATTTTAAAAAGCAGTTATATGTTTTATTTGATTTCCTGTAAGTATCTCAATTTTCAGACATACCCTCCCAAGAACTTAAGTAATTCTTGCAAATCTAATAAATAGATTTGGTATGTCTTAAGTCCTTTTAAAATGTTTCCCTACTATTTATAAACTGAATAAAATTTCAGCTTACACATTTTAAATTGGAATCACAAAGTAAATGTTATTCTAATGTGTCAAATTATCTTAAACACTATAAATATATCAATATATAAATATGCACAGATTATTTCGCAATGTAAAAATTTTAAAACTATGGGTTGAATTTGCTTTATCACTTCTATAGTAATTCTAAATCTCCATAGGATTAAAACAAATCATATAAGAGAAAACATTTATGTTATCCAAAAATTCCATTTTGGGGATATATTCTCAGCTGGATAGATTTCATATCAATCAGAGATTTCTACTTGGATGTCAGAACTGGGTTCGCAGACATCTGGAGCAGAATTTTCCTGTCTTATAGCTGCTGTGTCGGTGCCCTCCAATTGGGGCACCAGCCCACATCCCCTGGTTTCAACTTAAAACATACTTAAGTCTGAAGACTAATGTGTCTGAGATTATAACTGACTTCCTTCGCTGCTGCAAGTGGACTTTGCATTTCTTGGTCTCTCAGAATATTAAAATACCCAGTTGTATTCTGCCTACCTCTCAAGGAATTGTCCTGTGATCACAATTCTAAGGTTATGCTTATGACAGTGCATATCCTTTACGCATCAGTTCCACTTCTAGGAATTAATCAAACAAGTGTACAATGTTAAGAATACAAGGATGTTCCCAGCAGTGTTTATAAAAGCAAAAAAAAAGGAAACAATTTAAATGTATGTCAGTAGAGATTAGTAAAATATTGTATGTCTATACATTGGAAATGTGATGTGTATCTCCATATTTAGCATTTAAAGGATATGAATATATTGTTAAGTGGGACAAAAGGCAAGAAAATAGAATGTATATTAGCCTGGTTTTTTTTTTTTTAGAGAAAGAATGAGTGTGTTGCATTCGTTCATGTGTGTGCACATGCAGAGAAAGAGGGCTGTTTTGATATATGCCATTTACTTAACTCTGAGAGGTAAATGTTCTGTTTGTTACAGGATTAACACCCCACGAAGACAAGGAGGACTTGGGCCAATAAAGATTCCACTTCTTTCAGATCTGACCCATCAGATCTCCAAGGACTATGGCGTATATCTGGAAGACTCAGGCCACACTCTTAGGTACCTTTTCAGTGGTTTTACATTATGACCAATGCAAATACATTTGTAACCCTCCTGGAAATGGAGTTAGAAGATACAAGGTTTGATCAAGAAATATTATTTGCTCTATTTGCAAAAATGTTGTAGATACTTTTTTAAATAATTAGTGAGTGCCCTACTTAAACTATGTGAGTGTCACTGACTGTTAGAGCTGGAAGATTATGTAGAGGTCTTTTACCAACCCTGTCATTTTACAGATAAACAGATTCATAGAGTTCCATGAACTCTCTTTCTCTGCATGCGCACACACATGAACTTAGCCAAAGATACATAATTAATTAATGGCAGGGTACAGACTTGAACTCACGTCCCCAAACTCCTTGTCCATTTCTTTCTGCCCTTCTCCAAACTGACTCCAATAATGGTTTTCCTAAATACAAGTATCATAGTATTAGCAAACCTGTACCTTTGGAGTAGGAAAAATTAAGGAAATATTTTACCCAACAGCTCTCACTGGGTTACTTGAGCTAATAAATGCTAACAGAATTTTTTGGAAAAAGGGGGCAATTTTAGCTTAAAACAACTGTAATTTTGTTATAGTTGTATTATTTCCTTTTCAATGCTAATAGTTTCTTTTTAAATGTGTCATGTGAAAGTGTATTTTATAATCATGTTTTTAATAACAGCCTTATTGAGATATATCATGTACCCCAATATAAAGCATACAATTCAGTAGTTTTTTAGTATATTGAGAGAGTTTTGCAACAATCACCACAATCAATTTTAGAACATTTTTCTTACTCCAAAAACAAACCTCATACCCATTAGCAGTTACTCCCCCATTTCCCCAATTTTCTGGTTCCCATGCCTGCCTGCCGTCTTTATTTAATCCCTTGTTGCAGTGACGCACATCTTCATAGCTTCCTAATAAAATGTCATTGAAAGGTAAAATGGTTTGAAACCTTACATGTCAGAAAATATTTTTATTCTACTCTCATGTTGATTAATAATTTGGCTGGGTACAGAGTTGTAGATAGAAAGGCATTTTCCTGCAAACATTCAAAAGCATTGCCCTGCTATTTTTAGTTTTTGGGGTGGTTAGCGAGATGTCTGTTGCGATTTTAATTTCTGATTATTTATAAGAATGACCTGTCTCTTCTCTGTGGAAGAGACATACATGTATGTTACACCAAGTATGCCAAATGTATTAGTCTCAAAGTCTACCAAAGAAGCAATTAAAACAAAAAACAAGCTAGAATTTGCTACCAAAGAAAAGGCAGATTTGTTTTTGTGTGGTGTGTGTTGGTATAATGTATATTACAAAGCAAAACAAAATTTTCGATCAGGCTCACTTATTTCAGAACAGACTTGATCACCATTGACAACAGTTTTCAACTGTAAAAGTAGCTACATCAAATGAACACCCATATGAATAAAAATTAAGCAAGTTGACCTGATCCAAGGAGAGTGAGCCCTAGTTACTTCAGACATCAAGTTGCTTGTTCAAAAAATGTATTATAGGAGAAGCAGGAATACTTTAGTAATGTTTAACAAGATTTCATAAAATAGATATAGTCCATATATTTCTATCATTATTTGTAACACTGTACATAAGCAGTTAGCCCCGGTACCTGTGATCTTTTTCTAATCCAAAAAAGTACTGGGTTGAAATCCATATTGACTTAAATAGACAATGAAGTCCTTTGAAAACTTTTGTCTCTAGCCTACTTGAACTCTTGCAGTGCCACCCCCATCTCAGTACCAGGTCTTTTTGGCCAAACTGCTTCATTATCCTGAGGCCATAGAAGTGAATGACACATACAGAGATTTAGAGGGAAAGGTGACTTTGCTTATATTGGTGACCTTGTCTTTTTGTAACATTGAAAAAGGAAATAAAAAAATCCTAAACAGCCAGTGAAGAGAAAGATGGGCCACTCCTTCAGTCAAAGGAGAACTCTGCTGTGTAGTTCCATCATTTCATCTTCAGTGCAGTGAAATCCCAAACGTAGTACGCGTGAAGGTTCAACTGTAAATACTACAAGACATTTCACAGACAAAAACAAAATTTTAAGGCTACCGGGGGTGGGGGAGGTAGAAGAGGGTAAAGGAGGAAAATAATGATGGAAGGAGACTTGACTTGGGGTGGTGAACACACAATACAATGTACGGATGATGGGTTATAGAATTGTACACCTGAAACCTATATAATTTTATTAACCTATGTCATCCCAATAAATTCAGTAATTTTTTAAATTTAAAGCTCCCACTTAACAGTTGTAATCCCAAATTATATAGTAGATAAGTGTGGGTATGGGGGGGGTGTGTGCGTGTACCAGTCAGGTAGGTAGTGTGTTGTTGGTTCTGTATAACAGTCCTTTGTGGATGGTACAGGGATTCACATTAACAAATACTTGTCTTAACTAAGAGGAAATAGCCTCACCCCTACCACTCTTGTGTTTTATAGAGGCCTCTTCATTATTGATGACAAAGGGATCCTAAGACAGATTACCCTGAATGACCTTCCTGTGGGTAGATCGGTGGATGAGACGCTGCGTTTGGTTCAAGCATTCCAGTACACCGATAAACATGGAGAAGGTACTCTCTCTTTCCAAACGTCATAGCCCTTTGAGGTTTTTTAGTTTGAGAAGAGGCAGCAGCATAATTAGTTTGGTTTCTGATCCTGTAAGTAATTTGGATAGTTCCAAAGTCATCTGATTGTTTTCAAATTATTAGCTGATCTTTTAACAAACTATTACTAATATATTCTACTTACTGAATTAAAAGATGCAAAAAATATTCATTATTTGCACAGTCCTTTTAGGTAAGCTCAAAGAGAAAAGTTTCTGTTGCTACAGTTTTTCAAATTATGTTTTTTTAAACTTAAAATGTGCCAGTCTGGCAATATTTAATAATGTGGGTTTTAGTTGCATGTTTACATTGATTTAGATTTTTTTCCTCAAGGTAATTCAGTAATCATCAAGGTTATTCAGTATCATACTAATAATCTATTAGTTCATCCTTTCACTCCAAATTTTCCTAGTAGCTAAATGGGAAAGGTCAGATTTTCATAAAATAAAACGTGTTTTATATTCCTTTCAAATGTGTAACTTGGTACCTGGGTCAAGGTGCATTCTAAGTCAAAGGGAAATCAAATCCTACTTTCTGAATAGTTTTTTATATAAGTATTTTAAATATGTATATTTTTTATTTCACAGAGAGGAAGGGAGAGGGAGAGAAATAGAAACATCAATGATGAGAGTCATTGATCGGCTGCCTTCTGCACGCCCCCGACTGGGGATCGAGCCCGAAGCCCGGGCCTGTGCCCTGACCGGGAATCGAATTGCGATCTCCTGGATCCTAGGTTGACGCTCAACCACCGAGCCGCGCCGGCCGGGCTGAATAATTTTAAAGTCTCATTTGACAAACAGCAAACCATGGCATCAGTACTAAATACTACCGGAAGCAGCAAATAAGCTTATTGTAAGCTTATGTAAATTCGGAGAAATTGTTGCCATGCCCAGCCCTTTCGGTTCACCAGATTCCCAAAGTTTCCAGCTTTCTTAGAGGAACACTCAATTTGTTTCTTGTACTGTAAATGTAATTAAACATAATTGACAAAAATGAAAATAGATTAACTGCCTACTGCTAAGTTCCATGACTAAATTTCCTTGGTGCAAGCTAACAGAAGTCAAGTGTCCAGTGGCCTAGAAATGTTCTCATTAATATAGGCTCCATTTTCAATTTCATTTGGGCAAAGAAAAGCCAAGAGTTGCTGAAGAGAACTGAACTCTGTTTTTAAACTGTCTTTTGCCAATTTTTGTTCCTTTCAGTCTGCCCTGCTGGCTGGAAACCTGGTAGTGAAACAGTAAGTCAAACTGATTTTTCTGTTAAGGGGATATCTGGAGCCAAACAAAAACGCCAAGTTTAAGATCATCTGTAATAGCACTTTCTCGATTTTGTAAATGAAGCAAACATTGCTGGGCAGAAATCAGAAGGTACAGGCATTCTTTGAACTGTAGGGAGAGTAGGTAAAACTGGGGAAAGCAGAAGATGGGACTTCATGCTGTGAATTTTAAAGCCAAATATCCAGCAGAATAGACCATTAAAAACAACAACAAAAGGGAGTAGTGGAGACTTGGTAGAATAAAGTCAGAGGGCTAAGATCATATATGGAATTTCTCCCTATATTGTGGCAAAGAAAACAGTCACAAGCATAACTTTTCTACATACAGTAAAAAACTTTTGAGAAAAACCTGGCTTCGCTGACATCGAAGCTAATGATTCCTTATCCTTTGAGAGAAGATTGGAACAAGTGTATTCTTTCATAGGGAGACTGTATAATTTGTAGACAGTCCTGAAGTAGTCTCTGGCCAAAATACAATTTGGAAACTTGCTTGAAACTTTTCTAATAAACATGTTCTAAAAATCAAGTTTTACACAGACTGTAGTTAGGAAAATTACTAGAGCATTAGAGGAAGAAATCATTATCTTAGGATAGAAGAAAAATATAGACTCTTAAGACTTTCTTCCTTAGCAAACCAAAAAAAGACCAAAACAAACAAAAAAACCCAGTTATCATTAGCCATAGACGATGAGAGGTAGAAATTCACTCTGTAACCTCACTCAGATTAGGTAAAGTAACATTTCAGTGATTTTAAACCAGTTTTGATGAGTATGCAAAAGAGCTTAGCCCTTGTGGGTCAAGGTTAATGTTACGATACAATATTCATCTCTACATAGATCTAATGGATAGCAAGTGGATCTGAAGTTAAGCGTTAAAGGGACTTTGAGCACTAAGCACTCTGAGTTATAAATCAGTCATTAGGTTAATTTACAGTGATTGGCTGTGAGGCTCGCAGATAGAAATATGAGTCAGAAGCTGCAGGCATCGCCCGAGAAGCCTTAAAAAGCATTTCTGGATAAGGTCTTCCAGCTCTTCCCCCTGGAGCTGCAGCAGAACCAAAGGTGACTGATGCGTAACATCCCCTTCAGTCACAGGCATGAGCGGAGGGAACGGATGCAAAAGGCGAGGAAGCCTGAACTAGTCCAAGAGCTACAACTGGAGGGGAGAAGGAAAGAAAGTAGCAGGAGGGGGGCTGTAGGATCAGAAAGGGTCGGCGGTAGTGCTTCTTTAAGATAGATGACTCTCATCTCCAGATCCCTCAGTTTCCCCTGTATGTTGTACAGGCCTGATTTGTCAGCTCTCCTCTCCAGTGCATGTCATTCTCCAGGCCAGAACCTTTTAGTGGCTCCCCGCACTCACAGGACAAAGTCCAGATACTCGGGGCACAACCTTCAAGTCTTTGCATTCTTTGTTTCCACTGGTCTCTCCCAGGTCACCTTCCCTGTGCTCCCACCAAGCCACGACTCATCTTTCCCCCAAGCAAGCCCTGCTTTTCACACCTTCGTGCCTTCTCAGGTCTGTCTTTCTAGAGCCTGGAATACCTGCCCCCTTCTCTAAATTCTCCTCTTTCAAGACCAACTTAAATGCCACCTCCACTCTGAGACTGTCCCTAATGCCATCTCAGCCTCCATTGTGTCATACACAATCGTATTGTGCATTGCATCAAAACAGCCATGTACATGGACATCTTTCCCATGTGCTCGTATGAGCCTCAAAGGCGAGGCCCGTGGTAATTATCCTACATCCTGCACAGCCCAGCACACTATTGGCAAAAAGTACCTAAAAATTGAGTTTAAATGCAGACAGATTGTAAACTGGCAGAGCATACTCGTTGAAGTGTGATGCCTGGAAAATTAGGTAATGTTTACTTTATACTAAAAAAAATTATGAAGAAAACACATATAGAACTATCATAAGCTGATTATAAGAGTTTTTTTATATGTAGGGATAGATGTACTTTACCTATAACTATCAAGTAACATAGTTAATGTGAGTTTGATTATTATGGAAATTTCAAAAAAAATCTAGTAGGTTTCTAAGGCTGTGATCTAGTTGGGAGCATTTTTGTTTGTTTGTTTGGAGTGTTTGTTCATTCACTAAATAGTTATTGAAGGTAATACTCCATGTTGTATTCGAGTATTTTTTACCTTTGCAGTTTGAGATTAAAAGGGTGCATTCAGGACCACCAAAAAATCCATTCGAACACATTGCCCCCTCTTCAGGTTGTTGGGGCATCCCAGCGTTTTAGAAAAACATTAACATCTGTAGCCATGCTCTCTTAATGTGTTTGGTTTAATTAGATCAAACCTGAAGATGCCATGAAAGCCTGGTGGCCGAGAGAAGAGCTGTAAGTAAATTCCGGGGTGCTTGAGTACAGATGTTAATTCATTAACAAGTGATTTTCCTTTTGGGACAGCTGAGATTAGTAGGTAGGACAAATCCAGTGTTTCCCACATACATGTGATATAATTTGGTGCACAAACATAGTCCTGTCTTCTTTAGTCAAGAGATGGGCAACTACTATCAGACTACTAATGATGTACTTTGGCTTTTAAAAGGAATAATCCGCTTTTTTCTTTTAATAGATAATCCCAGATCCAGCTGGAAAACTGAAGTATTTCGACAAACTGAACTGAAAATACTTCCTCAGGGTATGATGCTTGAATGCTCTCAATAAAGGGCATCGTATTGTTACCACATCATGTCACCGCAGTTGTTTCTTGGAGAATATAAAACATCCATGTCAGGGTCCAAAGATACTCAGTGTTGAAGTTAGACACTGATGCCCAAAGTAGGCAGTTTCTCTCCGGACTCGGCCATGTCCAATTGACTGAAGCGGGGAACAATGACTAACATTTCCCCAGCGCTGCTGTGTGCCGGGCGTTCTGTTAGGCAGGTTCGGTGCATTGTTTCACTTAATCCTCACGGCAGCTCTCCGGGCTCTTGCCTTTCCAGATGGGGAAAGGGAAGCTCAGGTAAACTACTTGCCCAGAGTCACACAGCTGGCTAGAAAGGTAGCATCAGCCTTTGAACCCCAGGCAGGCTCCTAGTTTCTGGGCTCCTAACACTCTGTAGCTCGCCTCTCTGTACCACTGAGGGGGGCAGGAAAGAACAGGTTGTGAGCACATCGTCTTCCATGGTACCTGGAAGGGACAGCTGAGCCCAGAGCTCCCTGCTCTGTACAACACAAAGCCATTTGGACACACACCCCCTTTTTCTAAATTCATGTTTTCAACTCATACCAAATGTATAAGTAATGACTTACATATTTAAATATAATTTAACAAAAGTTGAATCACTAAACATATGTAGCTAGCTCTTCACAAATGACCACATATAAAGCTGAACTCCAATCCTATTTCATCACCCTTTTGCCACCCCAATATGGCAGTGACTTTTGCAATTATCTGTAGGTGTGCCGTGTAAGTATGTTCTAAATGCTAGCTTACGGTCGAGATTTTAGAAGCCAACCTATTAGTAAAGTTGAAAACTGTTAGTGCTTTGGTGTTCCAATAGGGTTGTAATGATCTTGTCAATACTTCCAATACAGCTGGAATCCTACTCTCAGATTTCCTCGTTCCAGTCTGAAGAGTACATATTTTTTACTCATGGAATAAGCCTGTATCTTCTTGATTAATGGTTTCCATTCTTTGGAGTTTTCACATGCGCATTTTAGGTGTGTTTACAAGGACAGCTACTTTTATATCTATTGCAAAAAGCCAGTCATTACTGTTTCATTGACCATGCAGCAGCTATTGGTCAGCTACTCTAAACACTTCGTATATATCAGTAACCAAAGACAACTTTCTGCCCTTAAGGAGCTTAGTATTTGATTACTGAAGCAGCTGTTGATAGTGTAGTAATTTCTGGGGACCTGCAAATAAGTGAAAGTACATCCTGACTCTCCGCTTTCATATTAATTGGGTAATGTAAATAGCCATGAATAAAACAGCACTAAATGCACTCCTTCTCAGTGCCTTTTATCAACTCTCCCTTCACACAGCTGATTTCTGAATGCCCACAGGTCCAAAATTATATCCTGAAGGTGATCTCATGTGGCCATTTACAGAACACTGGAAAAAGAGTGTCCAGAAAGGATAGTCCCCCTACTGAAGAGGATGGGCTCTGGGCCTGACAGGGTCACAGCTACAGGAGACCTGTTCCCAGAACATACTGACCTACCTACTGTAATCTAGAGCAGTGCTTCTCACCAGGGACAGTTTGCCCCCAGAGGACATGTTAAATGTCTCGAGATGCTTCTGGTTGTCACATCTGTGAGGGGCTACTGGAATCTAGTGGGTGCAGACCAGGAGTGCTGCTGAACATCGTACAGTGCACAGGACAGCCCCACAACAAAGACTTATCTGGCCAAGATGTCAGTAGTGGTTAGGCTGGGAAACCCCTCTAGAGACAGCTGCCAACAGATTAAAGAAAGGAGACCAGTGCAGCTTAGCTGCCCCTGCAGGAGAACAGACCATGCCATGACCTCTGGACCTTATCCAGAGTAACAGGTCAACAGGTGACTTGCAGTTTCTATGAAATCACTAGAGAATGTCTTTTCAGTGTACAAATATATATTTATATACATATATGTCATCTATAATACCATGCTTCGCCCTCCAAGCTCTGATCTCTGTTGAATATTTCCCAGTTAAGCCTCGCCAGTGTGCTGAGCTTTACAGTGACTGCAGTGGACCGCTCTTCCAGGGATTTCTTAGTCCCAAGAGTTTCATGCAAGAAGTCAGTCCCACCCTAGCCAGTTTGGCTCAGTGGTTAGAGTGTCAGTCCGTGGAGTGAAGGGTCCCTGGTTCGATTCTGGCCAAGGGCACGTAACTCAGTTGCAGGCTCAGTCCCCAGCCCCGGTCAGCGCACAAGCGGGAGGCAACCAATCGATGTGTCTCTCTCACATCAGTGTTTCTCTCTCCCTCTCTCTCTCTCCCCCTTCCACACTCTCTGAAAAGCAGTGGAAAGAAATAGCTCGGGTGAGGATTAAAAAATAGAGAGAAATCAGTCCCAACTCCCGTCATTTCTTCTGTCCATGGGCATATCTAATCCTACATCCTAAACTTTCCACCTGTCAGTAGACTTCCAGGTTGTATATTTTGTTCTCATATTAACCACTATTTTACTATTTAATGATACTCTACTCTAGGCCCCCGTCTGATATCGCAGAGTGCATCGTTGCATCTCATTACCCATGAACCTTCTGATGCTATGTCAATGAAATATCTTTGAATAGACTTATTAATATATGACGGGATAAAATGTGTACCTCAGGTAAACTGCCCCATGAAGGTCTCCATGTCAGGGGAGATATATATGCTTGTGTGCATGTACATTCATAGACATACACATAGACACACACACTTCTACAAACTCAATAAAATTTTTACCTAGCTTTTAAAGGGAAGGAAAATGTTTAGTGTAGTGTTCAGTATTAGATACCAAAGCAACTTTTACCAATTCCATTATTAACATAATATCACAATTTTGGCATAATGTGGTACACTTATGTAAAATCCTAAAAATATAGTGCTTTTTTGTTCTTGTTTTTGTTTTTTTAGGGCTTTGGGCCTGTCCTGTTGCTCCTTTGGAGGCGGACGGAGAACTGACCCCTAAAAATATAGTTTTAAAGATCCACCTTCCTGAGGCTCAACCTTACAATTTTTTTCAATTAAAAAATTCAAAAGCCAAGTGAAACACCCAAATTCACCTACATCATGCATCTGTTCATAAAGAAAATATTTATTACCTACATGTGTGCAAGGTACTTTGCTAGGCAATGTGGATAAAAAGACATGACACAATCTCTTCCATCAAGAAGCCCACAGTCTCCCAAATGAAAGCATGAAGAAAGCAATACGGTGTAATAAATGCTAGAAACACTGTCACTGTGGTGGCTCCAAAGCGAGCATGAGCAACAAGGAAAAACTGGGCTGAGGGAAGGGGTCACAGAGAAGGGGAGTATAAACCCATTTCCTGTTCCTCCACTGGAGGCCGCATGGCCTGTGAGTGCGCCGTCCTCACGCAAAAAGACTGTACCTGAGGCCCAACTTCAAGAGACGGAGCACTGACTGGTTGTCTTCTCATGATAATCTGCTGGGAGATGGCACATGCTCTAGAGCTGACTGCTAGGGTCAGGGGTCCAGGGTGTGGCCAAGGTGCGAGGGAAGGTAAGAACTGAGCCGGCAGGTGTGGTTTCCTTAACTTCAAATTCTGGTCATTTGTGTGGGTCATCAACAGGATCTGCAAGTTTTCTATTAAAGGGAGTGCGCTGCATTGTACCCCAAAGGCCACGAGATGGCGCCCGGCGCACTAGAATCCCTCAGCCACCTGCCAAGCACTGAGCCCCCTCTCAGGCTAAACCAAAAGAGCAACTACCTCGAGAACATTTTTGTGTGTTTTTTAACCAATCTTAATTTAGAAAAACATTACTAAAAATTTCAGACCAATTCAAAACTAAGTACAACTCAAGCAGGCATCTTAATTTGTACTGGGTGTACCCCCACCAATGACCCTGACCCAGTTAGAAGTACATTGTACATCGTGACCTAGTTAGTACACAGGTAAATGTGTGTGTGCACATGCACGTGCCTAACAAGCTTCACACAAAACCATCACCATGCATGACCCATTCGGAACTATTAGTTTTGTAGTGCTGGTCACAACCCACTAAATTTCGTAACCCACTAATGGATCATGACCCCTAGTTTGAAATATACACTTTCCTTACAAATACATAAGATATAAACTTGTATGTAAATATATATAAAATTAGGATACAATAAACACCTACTACATCAATACCGTCATCTGTAATTTTCATTTTACTTCCATTATGGTTTTGTTCCGTTGTCTTAGCCATATTATTCCCTCTACTAAAGTACAATTTCTGTGACACAAAAATCAAGGTATCCCTACCCTTTCTTTGGTTGCTACAATCCTTTCTCTGGGTATTAATTTCTCAGCGCCTCTGGATTACTAAATAGTTTTCAGAACGGCCTGTTTTCTTGAGGTTCCTTTTATATTTAGCATGCAAATCTTTTTTAAAAATATATTTTTATTAATTTCAGAGAGAGGAAGAGAGAGGGAGAGATAGAAACATCAATGATGAGAGTCATTGATCGGCTGCCTCCTGCACGCCCCCCACTGGGGATGGAGCCCTCATCCCGGGCATGTGCCCTGACCGGGAATCGAACCCCGATCTTCTGGATCATAGGTCGATGCCCAATCACTGACCCATGCCAGCTGCGCTAGCATACAAATCTGAAATAGGCTATGATTTTTCTAAAGATGATATTTAGTGAAATATTTTAATTCAACCAAACAGTTGAATCACATGAAGGAACGTAGGCCTAAATCAGGAGACTGTGGGGTGAGAAAAATGCCCCTACTTTTACGGGGAAAGAAACAGAGGCCCTGAAGCGATGAATCCCCCCACTCTACCCCTTGAACTAGCTGCTTGCAGCTGTAGGCCAACTGCACGGCTTCTCCCACATCACTCTGCCTGGGAGAAACCCNCTCAGCTCCAAGTAGGCCAACTGCACGGCTTCTCCCACATCACTCTGCCTGGGAGAAACCCAGCCGCTGGACCAAAGTACCCCAAATCCACCTCAGAGTGAGCCCCTTAGATGAAAATAACCTCATGATACAACAGTTTCATGAAGCAATGTGATTTATCAAAGACCCTTAAATCCATTTTGAATTTACCAAATCCTTATTTTTAATTCCTCTCTCCTGTTACCTATTTTATAGTAATTCATTATTTGTTGCCAAAGGATGGGCAGAAAACATTCACAAGTCAATTTAAAGAGTCAATCACAAATGTAGCAAAATTTTTATTCTAAGAGAGTTTTTAAAATGCCAAAAATATTTCCACCAGTCTTATCTATTACGGTTGAGACTCAACTGTGTTCTGAGATATACGGGGTGTCCCAAAAAAATGTATATACACTTTAACAGCTTATAGCTGTTAAATGAAAATGAAATTTATTTTACTAAACACTGCCTTTATAATTATTCAGTGTGTATACATTTTTGGGAACACCATATATATATATTCATACCATATATATAAAATCATTAATTAACCCTTTATCATAACAGCTGAGAATATATGTATAAAATGTAGCAAAGGGCCAAGATTCCAGATCTAGTCTGGACTTACCCCACCTATAGTTAGTTACAGGGTGGGCTTTGGGAAGTTACTTTCCCTCTCTAAGCCTCACCTGCCTCATCTGCAAAGTGTGGGTAATAATGGTATTGGCCTCAAAGGATGATTGTAAGAATTAAATGAAAAAGTACAGTTTTAAATTTTATTTGTTGATTTTAGAGAGAGGAAAGGAGGGAGGGAGAGAGAGAAACATCAATTTGCTGCCCCACTTGTCCATGCACTCATTGGTTGATTCTTGTATGTGCCCTAACTGGGGAGGAACCCGCAACCTTGGCATATCGGGACAATGCTCTAACCAGGGCCAGGGAGACAGAGTATATTTTAATGTCATTAGCACAGTGCCTGACACATAGTAACAATCTAGAATGTTTTAGCCATATATAAAAATTCTTATTTTATGATAACTACATCTTATAACTGATTTTCTGCCACACACTAAACTAACAAGTTGACAATGGGGTTCTATAACCAAATAAAGAATCCCTAAGTGCTTCCAAATGCTTTCATGTTAAAGCACAAAGCACTGATTCTGAACTTCAGGCTCTTGTCCACAGACAGAAATGGAGGCAAATATCTTATAAAAACTAACCTTCACCATCCTCCTGATGCACTTCCTTTCACCTCCCTTTTCTCATCTGCAAAGAAGTAAAGTGCTAAAAGATTATTACTCGGAATTTCTTGCACAGTTAAATGCATTGTTCAAAGTTAATTTTCTACATCAACAGTGACAGCAAGTATCCAAAATTCGTCTTTAAGAGACATAATCTTAATATCTCATTCTCCATAGCAAAAGAATTCAAATGATTCACTCCTTAGACAATATACTATACTGCCCTTTCATGTCACAAAAAAGAATAAAGGGTGTGATCCCAGCTTTGTAAAATTTATAAAAACTCCTAGTGTTTTCGATTTATTTGTAGGTATTAACGAAAAGAAAAAGGTCCATGGTCAACTTAAACAGGTGTTCTAAGGGCCCTACTTCTCAGTCTTTTGTAAGCTAATATCCATTATAACATGTCAGAGGAGGGTTATCCTAGGCAGTGTTTCCCAATGTGACTTGTCGATAAAACGTTTGTAAAAGAGCATTTGACCGGCACCGGTGTCAAAGGAGTTCATGCAGGAAAGAGAGCTGGACGCTTGCAATGACAACCCCTTGCCATCAGCTCTAGACACCACTGCTTTTTGAAACTTTTTTCTTACCAGCACCTCTCAGTCATCCAAACTGTAGCCTTTTCCCAGTGCTCGTGTTTGTCAGCTTCCACAGCACCACTGATCATTCCCTCCACAAAAGTGGCTTTGAGAGGCAGGAGGACGACGCATTTATGACTTGAGGATGTGTCTGGTTGCTCTGGGAGCTCCTGAACCACCACTGACGAAATCCCACCAACCTAACAGAGAGGTCTGGGCAGCCCCCACCCATGCCAGCCCCACCCCAGGATGCAGTAGGTCTCCTAACTGAACTGCACTCAACACATTCACACACCTCCCCAGAGCCCCTCCCTTCACCCCTTCCTGGCAGGGGCCCCACTGGGTTGCGGGCAGATGTGCAAACGCTGTGCTGAGGGGCCCCATGAAGGTCAGGCCCCGAGTCAGGCTGGACTCTGGGAGTCGCCCCACACAACTCAGCACAGCTCTGTGTTCCCATCACTGACTATGCCAGAAATGCTCCTTCACAGGAACTGCGATTTCTATAAATACTAAACTAACACGATTTTCTTTAAAAGCACGCCAGTTAATTCTGAGGCAGAGTCAAGTTTGTGACCACTGATCGGGAACCCACACTAAACCTGCTTCCTTCCTGGGGACCTTTTCTGAGATGACTTTTTCCTTCCGTGCAGCCTGGTCTTTGTCTCTTTTGACCTTGATCAACTTCCTGGACTTTGTCTCTTCTGACCTTGATCAGCTTCCTGCCCCATCAAGGAAGAAGCTGTGTCCTGGCTGCAGACTCATGCAAATACCTCCCTCTGGTGACACTGATTGGGTACAGCCTCCCTAGGTGACACTGTGACATCGGATGTGGCCTCTCTTGCTATATCCCTAGAAAGAAGTACAGGGTGCTGGCCAAGGGTACCCTGGCCCCACGCAACCTCATTCTAAATCCCAGCACCACCACTTACTAGCGGCCGAGTTACTTAACCTCTCTGAGCTTCAGTTTCCTGAGTGACCTAACCCTCTGCAGGGAGTTACAGAACCTACCTCCTACTGTAGATGGAAGAAAGAAATGAGCTAACACATGGCAAGTGCTCCACAAGCACAAGCAGCTGTTACACTATGGTCATCGCTTTTAATCAGATGTATCCCGCCCCGCCCCAGCAGAGGGTGCCAGGAGCTGTCTAGGGAAAGAATGAGCCCACGTCCAGTTTCCTCATCTGGCTCATCTTTGGACACCTCCGCTCACAGCTTTAGATCTGAGGTTTCCCACAGGTCTTTCGCGATGCCACAGCTTTTGACAAATCCCCTCACCCCAACTTTTCATTAACCCTCTACTATCAACGAAAGCTGGAAAGCAGAGGGAGACAGGACACTGAGGCATCACAGAGGGCTGCTGGGGCCTAGGCGACGGGGCACCGCAGCGAGGGCCGGGCAGAAAGAATGCCCTCCGAATGCCCTGGCGAGAAGCCATGGACACGCCGACAGGCTGTGACATGTGCAATGAAAACTGTTTTCAGTGGTGCAAATAGGCATCTGTCCTTTCTTCAGCAGACAGGAAGCAACACAGTGGGTTCACGATTTAAATCGCTTTGAAAGGGTTTATTAATTTCATAACTCTCTCTCCCTCTGCCCCGCCCAGCCACTCTCCTATTTTGCTTTTCTAATCATCCTAAGAGCTGAATACATTCTTTTTCTTTACGGAGGATGAGCATAGACGCTAAAACCAATACAGGTGCTGAGGCCTCCAGCAGGCACCACGTCCCTGGGGAACGCCGGTCTCCAGCAAGCGCGGTTTCCCTGGCACTCCGCAAGTTACTCCTTCCTCAAGGTCGCTGGTGCACTCGTGGAGTTAAAATGCCGCTGCCCATCTAAGTACAACATGGACTCTGAAACACAAGAGAGGTAACCGTGAAGAAACCTGCAGCCCCCGGGACAGCACGGGACAAACACAAGCCGACTCAGGAACTCAGGGGCAGCAATGAAAACGCAAAGCTGCTGCGCGGCCAGCGCTGCCGGGCCAGCATAGTGCAAGGCTGAGGCGCGGGCCTCGACTCCCGCCCCTTTCCTTCGGCTGGACCAGTCCTTGACCTCCAGGGGCTGCTTGCAGCTGGCACGTGCCCTTCAGCCAACAGCCAGGTGGGCAGAGCAGCCAGAGCCTCTTCGGGGCTGCAGAGCCTGAAAAGCGCCATCTCCCAGAGATGTGCTCTGAGCTGAGGCATCAGTGCGCTTCCTGCAACAGTCTGAAAGGAGGAAAATGTGTTTTACAAGTTCCTCCCTTTTCAGGGACGAGCAATCAGGCTGCTTACCTCCATACGTTCGGGGGAAAACCAAGGGCACCTCGTTCTCGGACATGAAGGTGAAATGAAAGACATTGGTGGTCGTGTGCTCTCTATTGTGCAGAGAGGCCACTTCGCTGTGGACTCTGACTTGCATGTACTTGCCTTGAGTAAAGCAAACCTAAGAGATCACAGATACGAATCAGCTGATGGCATTGGGAAGGGGGAACAGGCAGCCAGTCACAAGAGAAGCAGTAGCTTTAGGACAGCAAAACTTCTCTTCTAGGCCCAAATGATCACAAACTGTATGTCATCTCATCACACACCTACCTGAGCGGACAGAAACAGCAACGATCCCACCTCAACAGGTTTCTGAAACATGATGTCATCCACTGCTACTACAAACGGTCGGGAACCACTATTGGGAAAGGCGGAGTTGGGGGTCAAGTGTGAAATTCAGATGATCTGTTTTCCCCCTAACAACTGGCTGAAGCAAAATTTAAATGGTCAAAGAATAAACCTAGAGAAGTGGGAATAATCATGCCAGCAAGGAATGGTAAGGCGTGCCACTGCGACCAGATCAGTGCCAAAGTCACTGCAACTTGTCCCTTCAGCACAGCACCACCTCCTCTCGATAGGTCTTTACAGGCAGACCTCAGAGATATTGCAGATTTGGTTCCAGGCCACCGCAATAAAGTAAGCACTGAAAGAAAGCGAGTCGTAACCTTCTTGCTGGTGGAGGGTCTTGCCTTCAATCCGTAAAGAACACATCTGGGGCGCGCAATAAAGCGGGCGCAATAAAACGAGGCGCGCCTGTAATGTACTAACTTATCTAGTCAGAGGGACAGCCTTCAAAAGCGAGGATCAAACTCAGCTGGTATCAGTGAGATATTTATTTAAAACACAACAAATTCCCCGATACGCTCAGACTGGTCAAAAATGTTTCATTTCAGTGGGGTAGTAAAAACTGCTTCTCGGAATTTAAGACTACCTTAAATCTGACTTACCCAAAGTTACAAGCTGTAGCCCATCCAAGTTCATATGCTTTCCTCATAAGGAAACCACCAAAGATCCGATTGAAAATGTTTCTCTCCTATGGGACATAAAATAAATAGTAAGAAATACAAGCCCATGGCCACCCTCATATACAGAACAAAGGAATTAACAATGCCAAAGAACAGAGGCTAGTTTAAAGATATCAAATCTCAGATGACTATCATGGATGCAAGTTATCTTAGTTAGAAGATTTTTTCACCAAATCACAATACCTGTGGGTGGCAAATTTCCAAGCTCTTCAGTTTCGAGTGCTCCATCCACACTGCATTAGGGGGCAAAACTCGACTTTGAAAACTTATAGTCCTGTGCAAACAGAGATTTGGTAAACCCTGTTACAGCCATGGTTTCACTGTTGAAAAGTGAAATATTTGCAAACAATTTCCAGTATGTTCAGGCCAGCCTGGTTCTGGAGAAGGCCAAGGTTTAAATGCTCTCCCAACATGGAATCTCACCAGCCTAACTTACTTTTGATCCAGCGTGTTAAGAAACATCTCATGTATGGTCATCCTCTCCTCGGCACTAGGAGCCATTTTCAGTAACGACATGGAGCTAAAGGCAACCCTTCTCCCCTTGTTCACTGAAACATGGGACAATAAAGAGCAGCGGTCAGGAAGGTCGCAGTGCACACTGGGGTTCCTGACCTGGGCTGCCTGAGACCCTACACAGACAGTATTTCCAGACTGAAACAATCCCACTGGAAACTGTCCATACATCTCACAAAAACTTTCCGTGACCCTTTGCACTCACATGGAAACTGCATCAGCTCACTGTAAGACCACTTATAATCATCCTGACCTAGGGCCCCAACCAGCAGTTATTTCATTAAGCTATATTTTCCATTTCATTAAAAATGAGAAAAAATTACTTCAATTAATAAATAGTGGCTGATCAATAAAACTGTTCAAAGTATGGACTTCACAGAACAAAAAATAAGGTATTTTTAATTTCAATAAATTCTTGGAATGAGCAAAACACCTGACTGGTATGAGGAGTCCATACGTACTCTTAAACAATCTCCTGTGCAATACAGTTAATGTGCTTTTATTTTTTTAGTTAAATTTTATTTTTTATTTTTAGAGAGAAAGAAAGGGAGGAGAGAAAGAAAAACATCAATATGAGAACATAACATCAATCGGATGCCTCCTGCACAGCCCCTACCTGGAACCAAACCAGCAACCTTTCAGTGCATGGAATGACACCCAACCAACTGAGTCACACCGGCCAGGACAAGAAGTTAATTTTTAAATTGCCTATAATTCCATCCCAGGGAAAACTATTAAAATTTTGGCATATTTCATCAGTCTTTTTCTATGTATTTTTAAATATAGCTCAGATATTACTATATATAAAGTACTATATCCAAATTTTTCAACATAACATTATATTAAAATTCTGTTTTCTCACATCAATATAAACCCTCTTTGTAAACATAATTTTAAACAGTTAATGTGCTTTTAAAAGTTTATCTTATTATAGCCCGGCCAGGCTTGGCTCAGTGGCTGAGCATCAACCTAGGATCCAGGAGATCGAGGTTTGATTCCCAGTCAGGGCACAGGCCCGGGTTTCGGGCTCCATCCCCAGCTGAGGGCTTGCAGGAGGCAGCCGATCAATGACTCTCTCCCATCATTGCTGTTTCTCTCTCTCTCCCTCTCCCTTCCTCTCTATGAAATCAATAAAGATATATATATTTTAAAGTTTATCTTATTATAAACAAATTAATATACATTCTCCTTGTCTAAAGAGCGCTTCTTCCTCAGGGCCTTCGAGGATGAGTGGATTCACAAATGCCGACCTACAGAAAAGAAGAGAGTACAGTTTCAAATGTTGCTGTCTAACAAAAACAGAAGATGAGCAACTACCCGCCAGTTTTCAGGTCCTTGCTAACTGTTCACACAAGAACTCCGGAACACTGAGGGGAGGCTTCTGGTTACAGACTTATCTGCCCAGAAGGAAGTTCACGTTATCAAAAGGACATGGCTTGCCAAAGTGTTTCACCCGATCCTAATCATGAGGAAATAGTCAAAATAGGTTGTAGAACATTCTACAATACAACTGGCCTGGACTCTTCGAAAACACCAATGTCTTAAAAGACAGAAAACGGCAGGGGACTACTTTAAAGAAACATGGTGACCAATTGCAATACATGATCCTTGATGAGATCCTGCCTTAGAGGAAGAAGTTATGAAGGATATTTGAGGGACAACTGGCAAAGTTTGAACATGGATCATATATTAGATAATACAGTCATAGCACTTAAATTTCTTGGGTATAATAAAAGCACTGAGGTTATGTAGAATTACCTTACTCTTAGGAGATACATGCTGAGCTCTTTATGGGTGAAATAGGCTCAAACCTGCAAATGATTCAGGGGAGGAAATGTGCATATGTGTGTATTTATAGAGAGGGCAGGAAAATAGGCTGGTGGTAAAATGTTAATTGGTGTATTTAAGTGAAGGGTGTATATAAGTGTTCATTGCACTATTCTATTTCCCTGTAGGTGTCAAACTTTTTAAAATAAAAAACTGAGCTAAAAGGAAGATAGTATTTCACTGTGGTAGAATCCAAAAGTTTGATGAAACAACGACGGAAACAAAAGAACCGAAATGGCAGCTTGGAAAACTGAACTACACCAGCTGGGAGAGGAAGTTTAATACCTCTCCCCACCCACCCCCAGTGCTGGGAAAGGAGCCTCAGGCCAGGCACCGGGAGAGTGAGCAGGTTAGCTGGGGCTGGTGGGACGACTTGGACTAGATGGGTGCATTCTTTGCTCAGACCAGTCACCAAGGGATTTTTCAGTCTTAACACAATTTTCCATGTCAGCCTTCCACACAGCAGAAGTGACTTCTCATTGCAGACTCCTCACTCACGTTTCTAATACAAATTAGACTTCCCAGAGGCCTCTAGACTCTGTACAAACAGCAATCCTGTAACATTCCCTCCCACCCCACTCCCACAAGCACAATTAGATCGCTTTTCTCACTTTGAAGGCCGTGGGTGTAACTGTTGTTAGGAACCAAGAATTCCATTTAAGAGAAAAAGATAAAGCATAAAGCCAAATAAGTTAAAGCCTGTACGGTTAAACTTGACTTGAAAATGACACTATAAACTCATGAGGTTGTTTGTTTATTTGCTTTATAACATACATCCAAGCTCTGTCCACTGAAAAGGCCTAGATACAATGATAAACTAGTAACAACGCACATTTCTAGTGCCCAAGTTTTGTTCTCTAAATACCAGTTCCCACTAAAATGAACCCCAGGGCTCCTTGGAGAAATGGCTGATTCCATGCCTGGGGCAGGAAACATGTAAGATGAGCCCAAAATACCTCATTGCACCAGAGAGCAGGCAGGTATCAAAGACTAAAGCGGAAAAGTCAAAAGAGCTTATCACAGGAGCCAGCTGAAAGGAGCTCCCACTGACCAGACAGTACACTCTGAGCAGCAAGAGCAATGGCTGCAACTCATGGAAATACATTTTGATATTAAAATCCATTAACTCACAATGATACTTTTTATTTTTATTATTTTTTAATTTAGTATATCTTGGAGATCATTCCATACCAGTAAGTATAGAACTGTGCATGTTTTATTTTTGTTTATGCTTTTATTGATTTCAGAGAGAGGAAGGGAGAGGGCGAGAGAGAGAAACATCAACGATAAGAGAGAGTCATCGATCAGCTGCCTCCTGCATGTCCCCTACCAGGGATGGAGCCCGCAACCCGGGCATGTGCCCTGACCGGGAATCGAACCTTGATCTCCTGGATCATAGGTCGATGCTCAACCACTGAGCCACGCCAGCCGGGCTACAATGATACTTTTTATAAAAGCCAAAAAAATAGAAAAATCACTAGTTTTTTGTCCTCACTAGCTAATTAATCACCTCGTTACTTTGCAGATGTGTAAATAAAGGGCAAGATGAAACATTAATCTTGACTTCCCTTTACAAACCAAATTGCCCAGTCGATAAGGGAAAGCTCTTCTTTACAGAACTCCAGCTAATAAATGTCGAAGGAATGACAGGATTTTGGAACCATTTTACACTCCCACATGATTAAAGCAGTGATCAACAAAGGACATTAAGAGCCCTGGAGAAAGACTGATGGGGAGCTAGCTATGCACAGGATGACAATATACTTTGGATACACCCTGCGCTGCACTCCACCCTGCAAGATCGTTGCTGGTCATAAGCAGATAAACTGAACTTTTCAGAGGAAAGGTCAGTCTGTCACTACTGGAACCCACACATCAATCTTATCATCGCTATGAGTGAGACAGTCTATACCTCCTGACACGATGCAACATACACAGCATCACCTATGAAGTGCTCTCCCAAATATGCTGACCCTGCATCTCATCAAGGCTTCAGATCTAACTTCAGTTTACAGAAAATACTGGCAGTCAAGAAACAAGGTCAAGAAAAAAATACCATGAGGAAGCAATGAGACAAATTCAGAAGGTCGGACACTGTATAGAAGAGCCGATCCAGCCCTTCAATGAGTCGGTAAAACAGTAAGTGGGCAGGAGGGACACTCAACTATTCTGGATTTAAACAGCCTTTAGAGACTGTACAACTCTGTGATCTGTGACTAAAAGCCATAAAATTAACCAACAAAACAGCCTTACAAGACATAAAAGTCAAATGTAATATGTGGACCTTGTTTGCATCCTAATTTGACAAATCATTAAAAAGATATTTGGGGAAAATTGAATCTGAACTATTAGAATATACTAAGGATTTACTAGCATTTTTGTTAGGTATGCTAATGGTAGTGTAGTTATTTAAGAAAATGTCCTCATTTTTAAAGAGACGCCTACACCAAAGTATTTAGAGGTGAAATGTCATTATGTCTGGGATTTGCTTTAAAACATTATAAAGAAAATAACAGACTTAGAAACAACAGGTGAAACAAATATGACAAAACTGTTCAGACTCATGTCTACGTGATGGGCACATAGACATTCATTATGTTTTTCTCTCCGGTGTTCTGTATGTTTGAAATTTTCCAAAATAAAGAATTAGGAAAAAAAAATAACAGTTACCCCTTATTTTCAGAATCACGAGCCACCATTACAAAAGTTGCTTCCAAAACAGGAGAAAATTCACTGCCATGTAACTAAAACAAAGGAAAGAAAATGCAGATGTAAGAAATGCATTTCCTGGGAAGATCTACGACAATTCTAAAAGACAGTGTGCGTGCTTTGAGAAGGGCTGCCATTCAAAAAAGAGAAGCTGTGGTACCTTTACACCATGGGACACTATGCGGCGGTGAAAGGGGTCTCATCCACTGAGACGGCATGGAGGGACATGCAGAGTATTATGCTAAGCGAAATAAGCCAGTTGGAGAAAGACAAGTATCACAGGATCTCACTTATATGCGGAATCTAATGAAACAAAATAAACTAATGAACGAATAGTTCCAGAGACATGGAAGCATGCAACAGATTGAGGGATCTCAGAGGGAAGGGGGTGCGGAAAGAGATTAACCAAAGAACTTACATGCATATGTGCATAACCCATGAGCACAGACAATAGTGCAGTGAGGCCTGGGGCGAGGCAGGAGTCGGGTGGAGGGGACCAGTAGGGGGGAAATGAGGGACGTCTGTAATACTCTCAACAATAAAGATAAATTTTTTAAAAAAGAAAGTAAAAGAGAAGAAGTGCATTCGTGAACCACCAGCTGCTGAGTTGTCAGGCACAGAATTACGCTCTGGGTGGGGATGGCAGTGTGACCAGGAGCCTGTGGTCTAGCAAGAGAAAGACACCCAAAATCCCAAATGGTGCACTGAATGAAATGCTGGGATGGACATGAATTACAGGCTCTGGAGCTGTGCATGACAGGAACCCAACGGCAGGGGTCACAGAGGGACCTTCTGCATCATTTCACTGTCCCGCTTCATGCAGAACTCGGGCTCCCTTCAGGCCTACCTGTCCTCACAATGGCACACAGAGCCAGGCGGGCGTCCCGCTGCTCTCATAGATATTAGCAATGCCAAGGACCTTCGGTGTGCCAGCTACCAGCACATGTTTGTGATTCCTTAGCCGAGCACAGGGGCTCCCAAGGGGTAAGATCCGTGGTAATTCTGTGGATTAAGCTAAATACTCACAATGCACAAGTCTCTGACGTTTGAAGGTGTTTCTTGATCTCATAGAAGTCTGTACGTCCAGGACAATCACATCATAAAGTCCTATCATAACCTGAGGGTACATTCAGCTCCTTCCTCAACACTAGTCATCACTAATGCCTGTTCAGGCCCTATTACCTCCCCCCACAACTTTCTTCTAGCATCTGCTCTAAGCCTGTTGGCCCTGTGTAGAAAGAGCCTTCCGCCACAGAACCCAGGCTCCTCTCCCGTTGTTCCCAAGTGCTTCCTCATACCCACTCCTTTCTCCCTAGCCACGGCTAACAACTCAGAGGTCCTAGAAGGACCATGCTGCCCAATACCTCCGCTCCATGTCTTTGCCTGATGCCTTCCGCACTGCTGCATTCATCACAAACCACTCCTCCCCGGCCCACAGAGCAAATACTCAGCCCTACTCCCCAGGCACAGCTAATCATTCTCTCCTTTGTTTGCCAGCTAAATGGAAACAATGTCCTCTCCTGACAGTGGTTCTCACTCCCATAGGGGGCATTTGGAAATGTGTAGGGCTGATCTGGGTTGTCAAATAATTCGAGAGACATTACTAGCAGGATGGGGGCAAGCAAAGAGCTGAACACTTCACAATGCAGGGGACAGTCCTGCAGAACAAAGAATTTCCCCACATACAATGCGAATAGTGTCCCTGTTGAGAAATGCTGCATAATACTTACTATCCTATGCCACAATCATTTATTTACGTGGCTGCCTCTCTGCTACACTATGAGTTCCTTGAGTTCCTTGAGGACAAAGACCATTTTCATTCACATTTGTACCCCAAGCACTTAGTACAAAGACTGACAGATAACAGATACCTGATCAATGACTGCCAATGTACAAATCGAGGCAGTAATTATTGAGGACTACCAGAATGTAAACGCCAAGAAAATGGAACTGTTTTGCTCACGGCTGTATACCTAGCACAGAAAGGGCGTGCAATAAGGAATGTTAAATAAGTGAATGTGAGGAAGTGGGCTTGGTGACTCACACCCAGATCCTGTTGTTGAGAAGCATATGGTCTAGTGGAAGAGAAAACATGTTCCTACGCAGCTCTGAGGAGCAGAGATTAGCAGGTCAGAGAACGGGTACTGAGGAAGGCCTCCTGGGGGGAACAGGTACTGTGAGCTGGGAGGACCGGGAAAGGATTCGAGCATGGCGTGACCAGGGAGCACAAGTGGAATGTGGATGTGCAGAGCCAGAACACAAGGCTTTCAGGCAAAGAAAAAAGCGTAAGCAACGATACTCAGCCACTTGCTCGCTGTTTACATTATGACTTATTAAAACGAACAGCTACTGGCGCCAAGCATTGGGAATGCAAAAAGGAACAACTCCCTGCTCTTAGGACGCTCAGTGTCCAGGAGTGAGCTCTAAGAAGGTATATAAATGATGCTGGAGGGAATCTCGGCCGAAAGGTCCACTGGAGCTAGTTTAAGGAGGACCTTGGAATCCTAACCAGCCAAAGTTTAGATTTGAATGCACAGATAACAGTCAAGGTTTTGGAAAAGGACAGTGATGTGATTTAAGATCAGCTCTGGAAGATCTAGCTGATAAAAATGTACAAAATGAACAGAGGGTGAGACAAAGCTAGAGGTAGGCAGACTAATCAAAAGACAGTTCAGGTACTCACACCAGAGGCAGTGAGGGCTTGAACGGAACACGGGCCAAGGGCAAGGGGGAGAAAGGACCCTGGTGAGTTGCTGAAGGTGGTGAATTTGCAAGACTTGGCAGAAGGCTGCAAATGAAAGGGAAAAACTTAAGCTGTCGCAAAGGTCTGGAGCTGAGAAACCAGGTGGCAACAGGGAAAAGCCAAAGGAAGGTCAGGATTAGAAAGGAAGCTGACACACTCAATTCGAAACACACTGGAGCGGAGGCAGCAAGAGCCCATGTAGGGGGAAATATAACAGGTACTCAGAAAGGTAGGTCTGAAGGTCAAGCCCAGAACAGAGATTTGGGACCATCTCCATAGCAACAGAAAGAAATTAAAATTATTGTCACCACTAGATTAGTGGTCACTGTGTGACAGGCAACGTACCAAGTTCTTCATATGGGTGGGCTGTTTCCCATTTCACCTGTACCACACCATGTAATGTGGTACTATTACTGTTTCCACGTTGCACTTGAGAAAACAGAGGCTCGGAGAAGTAAGTGATTTACCCACGGTCGTGTGGCTAATAAGCAGCAGAGTTGGGATTTGAACCTTAGTGCACCCAAACCAGAGGCACCGATCGCCAAGCTCCTTTCCGGAATGGAAAGGATCACTCAAGTAACAAGTTATGCAAAACAGCCAATGAGAAATGCAAATTTAAAACAAAAGTTTGTGACAAAGGAAGGGATGGGGGGAATAAATGGTGATGGAAGGAGACCTGACTTGGGGGGGGGAACACACAATACAGTGTGCAGATGGGTTGTGGAATTGTGCACCTGAAACCTCTCTAATTTTGGTAACCAGTGCCACCCCAATAAATTCAACAAAAAAGAAAAACAAATAAAAGTTGTACTTGCCTGATACTGATTTTCATTGGCTCTGTCCCCTCAATAATTCCTGTATCTCTTTTGCAACCTACTTGTCCAAGATTCAAACTGTCAAGATCCGCTAGGAAGCTGGTCCTATGCCAGCAATCTGTTGCGCGTGGCACTGAGCAGGCTAGAAATCAACCATGAGGGTTTAAAAAGTATGTGGGCAAATCACACAGCATCCCCAACGGCTTTATTGTGTTTTGTTTTAAAAACGGTATTACTATCAGCTAGAGCTACAAAGCAGGTACAGAAGCCAACCGCTTACATAGAGCGTCAAATACAAAACCACTTAACTCTTTTGACAAATAACTTGAATTACTGCAGAGCAAGCTTCAGACTTTTTCCCAAAGGTGAAGAGTTTTATAATTCCCTAACGGAAAAAACAGTGCCTGAAAAACAGGCCTGCTGAATACCCTGGCATAACCGAATAAATCATTCTTAAGTAAGTTTTCATAACGAAATCTTGGACATACGCTGAATTATTTGATTTCTGTGCCATTATCCTCTTTGAGGTAGTTTTTCTTGTCAAATATTTTCATTTCTTTGTAATAGCTATTCTGTGTTTCGCTCATTAGAGGGGCCATTCCTAACTGCTCTAATAGTCTGTGTGACTGTTCTGAGTTGAACTGTATCCCCCAAAAAGATATGTCTAAGTCCTAACCCTTGGTATCTATAAAGGTGACTTTATTTGGAAATAGGGTCGTTGCAGATATAATCAGTTAAGATGAGGTCATACTGGAGTAGGGTGGGCCCTAATCCAATATTACTGATGTCCTAATAAAAAGAGAAGAGGCACGGAGACACAGATACACAAAAGGAAACGCCATGTAACAATGGAGGCAGAAATTGAAGTGCTATAGCTACAAGCCAAGGAATGCCAAGGACTGGCAGCAAACTACCAGGAGCTGGGCAGAAGCAAGGAAAGACTTTCCCCTCCAGGTTTCAGAGACAGCATGGTCCTGCAGAGACCTCGATCTTGGACTTCTAGCCGCCAAAATGTGAGACAATTAAGTTCTGTTGCTTTATGCCCCCTGCTTTATGGTACTTCATTACGGCAGCCCTGGGAAACTAACACAGTGACCGACCCCATTCGTGCCTAACGTAACTCAGACTTCTGCTAAACTCTCTGGGCAAAAGCAGAAACAAGTACCTTAACACGGAGCTGAGATGATCTGAAAGTAATAAATGCTAAACATAAGCACCCAGTAATCTGTCAGTCTTTGTCCAGGAGGGGGCTGTTGGTAACCCACCATCCGCGTGGTGTGCGCTCACACTGGCTTTTCTCGAAGAGGTGAGCTGCAAACCTGCGCGTGGGCACCTGGGCAAGTGAGCTTTTCCTTCGCTAAGACTAGCGGGCTGCACCGGACAAGGGAGCCAGCGCTGGGCGCTACGCACCTGGAACATCTGCATCTTCACCTCCATGGAGGTCTTCCCAACCCAGCTCACGTGGCCGCTCAGCTTGATGTCCTGTTCCGGGCTTAAGCTCTTCTTACACATGTCTGCGAAACACAAAACCAACCTGACCACCCGGCCGGGAGGGCTCAGCGGCTTGAGCGTTGGCCGAGGATCCAGGAAATCACGGTTCGATTCCTGGTCAGGGCACAGGCCCGGGTTGTGGGCTCCATCCCCAGCAGGGGGCGTGCAGGAGGCAGCCGATCAATGACTCTCTCATCACTGATTTTCTCTCTCTGTCTTCCTCTCTCTGAAATCAATAAAGATATATTTAAAAAAAAACACACACACACAAAAAAACCAACCTGACTTCACCCCATGCCCCAAAGTTTCCATGCTACAAATGGCCAATTTCATTTGAAATGTTGGTAAATTCCACTACATTTCTTTTTTGTCTTCCAAAAATAATGACTTTTTTGACATACAAAAGAAATTTATAATATCTTTTTTTCAAAAAAAAAAAATGTAGACAATGCAAAGAATATAAAAAATAAAACTGGAACCACACAAAATCCTTCCACCAGAAGATAATTTCAATAAATATTTTGGTATATAGCATTCTAGACATTTCCACATGCATTTATACATAAAAATGCCCCCAGAAAATTCTAATCTCAATAACATCTTGTAATTAAATTGGTAGTTACAGGATAGTCATGGGGATGTAAAGTACAGCATAGGGAATATAGCCAATAATACTGTAATAACTGTGTGTGGTGCCAGGTGGGTACAATATTTATCGGGATGATCACTTAGGAAGTTTTATAATGTCTAATCACTGCAGTGTACACCTGAAACTAATATATTATAGGTCAACTGTAATTGAAAAATAAAACACGATTTAAATTTTTTAAAAATTATACCTCGTAATTATTAAGAATTCTAAGTATGCATAGAATATAATATTGCTTACCAATTTTGTCCACCAGGGCTGTAACTATTGATAAAGGAGACATCTTAGCTGAATGAATTTTGGTGTGCATGTAGCAAATAAGAACTGTAGGAAAACAGAAGAGAGCCAAATAAAGGCAAAGTAAAATTATTTCTCAACATCTACAATTCACTCCCTGAAATCTATAAAAAGTCTTATCTTGTTTTGAAGACCCACACCCACCCCCCCATTCCACTGGTGGTCTTATCCTAGGACCCAAGACTTTCACACATTGAAGAGATCTGGGGATCCTCTAATCTAACTGCCCGATCAGTTTTAGATTTGGTGAGGTAATGGAAGCCCAAAGGCCAGGCCCACCAGGTGGCTTGTCACCACTCCACAGAGACACAGTGCCTAAGTCAGAAAAAGACCCCAGCACATGAGTCTGGCGGCATCAAAAGTCTTCAGAAAAGAAAAACAATCACAGGGACTCAGCCACCTGTTTTCCTCCTGACTCTTTCTTAATCATGAAGCAATTAATTCGCTCTATCAACTCGTTGAAAGTTGTATTATACTTCTGTGTCTAATGGCCTCCCCACTTCCCCCATGATTCATTCAAATGTGTATCATCAGCCCTGAGGACTGGATTAGTGCTCAATAAGTATTTACTCCATGACAATAAATTCTTCCATCCATGCTCCTGCTAAAAGGATGTATTGGGGGAATGAGAGGCTAAAGGCAAAGAAACTCCCTTTCAAAGCCTTTGTGGTACCCAGAAAAGAAACCATATACGTCTGACCTATGGCAATAGTAGTGGAAATGAAGAGAACAGAAAAGATCCGAGAGCTTAAGGAGGAGGGACACTTGACAAGACTTGACTAAAGCCAGGTTTCCAGCTGGCGTGAATGAAGATGGTGCACCGCCTGCTGAAAAGGAGGGTGCGAGAAGGGGAGATGGGGCTATCTGCTGCGTGCTATATTCGAGAAGCCTGTCTGAATGAAGACATCTGGGAGATAGGACAAACTGGTCTGGGACTCAGAAAAGCAAGCCAGGAGATGTGCCTTCCTAAGTATTCCCCAAACTGAGACCAACTAAAGCATGGGGAGTAAATGAGATAATTTCTAGAGAATACAGAGATAACCAAAAAAAGGGCGGAAGGCAAAACCCTGAGGATAACTGACATTTAAGGGATCAATAGCGACAGAGGAGCCTACATGGAAGACTAGGAAGGAGCAACTGGAAGGGCAGGAGGAACTGGCACCAATGCCCAAGGACAAGGCTGACAACAGAAGCAGCTGCAAAGGGGCTGAAGAGCCCTGAAGAGCACCCAGTAGATCATGCAATCAGGGAGCCAGTGGAGAGCTTGGCAGGAGCAGTTCAATGGCAGAGGAGCAGAAGCCAGAACACGGCAGGTTGGGAAATACCAGGAGGTCAAGGGTAGAGGCAATGACAATAGTATGGGGAAGGCCTGGGGGCGGGGCAGATGC